CTATCTATCTATCTATCTATCTATCTATCTATCTATCTATCTATCTATCTATCTGTCTGTCTGTCTGTCTATCATCTATCCATCCATCCATCCTCCATCCATTCTGTCATCCATCCATCCATCCTCCATTATCTATCTATCTATCTATCTATCTATCTATCTATCTATCTATCTATCTATCTGTCTGTCTGTCTGTCTATCATCTATCCATCCATCCATCCTCCATCCATTCTGTCATCCATCCATCCATCCTCCATCTATCTATCTATCTATCTATCTATCTATCTATCTATCTATCTATCTATCTATCTGTCTGTCTGTCTGTCTATCATCTATCCATCCATCCATCCTCCATCCATTCTGTCATCCATCCATCCATCCTCCATTATCTATCTATCTATCTATCTGTCTGTCTGTCTGTCTGTCTATCTATCTCCATCCTATCCACCCATCCATTCATCATCCATCCATTCTGTCATCCATCCATCCATCCATCCATCCATCCATCATCCTCCATTATCTATCTATCTATCTATCATCCATCCATCCATCCATCTATTTCCATCCATCTGAGAATCATAGTGTCATAATCCAGTGGGAATCTCTGGTCCATCTCTGGTCCTTCAGGTGTGTCCATTGGCTAATGGTGAAGAACTCTCGAAGCCTATAAAGAGAGGAAAATACTGCCCACCTTGCTTTCCAAGGATTAAAATCCTGCTCTCTTGTGATCTTCTTCTTGCCCTGAAAATATATTCTTTAAATTCAGTATTTCCTTTTGAAACTTGAAAGAGCCGCAACTGATTTCCTGCTCTGAAAATGTGTCATGTCGCCAAGGCTGGCCACCTGCACAGAACAACGGGCCTACATTTGGGCTGCAGTAATGTACATGACCACAAGAGGGCAGCAAAGGAATGCCACTGGTTTTAAAATCTCTCTCTGCTGACCTCTGGTGGTTGTCTCTGATTCATGCACCCTGAAATTGATAATCCGTTTTATTTCTTACTGCCAACATTTTTTTGAAATTTTTGTTATGGAAACTCAGGGATTGTGTTATAAATGGGAATGACATGCATTAATCTGAATGTGCTATAAGCAGTTTGAAAAGACATCGCTTGGCAGAGTTTATTTTTAATAAATGAAATAATTTTTATAATAAACAAGTTTGTTGTTTATCTGCCTTCTTTTGGTATCCCGTTTAAATCTAATTCAGAGCCGGTTTGGTGGTGAGTATATCATTGCTTTTTACATCCAATCCACCAAGTCATTCTGTCTGGATTTGGTATTGAATTTTGACTGCTTCTGATAAATCTACAATTATGATAATATTATAGAGTAGTATCTAATATTCAAGGTCCTTTTTAAAATGATGATATTACAGCAGATCCCCAAACACGCCATCTCAACGAAACTTCCAATTCTTCATAGAATCACAGAATTAAAATTTTAAATTGAAAACATCAAGCATCATGTTTAAAAAAACAAAAAAGTATATAAGATAAAAGGTTTTCCCCTCGCACATATGTGCTAGTCGTTCCCGACTCTAGGGGGCGGTGCTCATCTCCGTTTCAAAGCCGAAGAGCCAGCGCTGTCCGAAGACGTCTCCATGGTCATGTTGCTGGCATAACTAAATGCCGAACGGTGCACAGAACGCTGTTCCCTTCCCACCAAAAGTGGTACCTATTTTTCTACTGGCATTTTTTAGGTGCTTTCGAACTGCTAGGTGGGCAGAAGCTGGGACAAGTCACGGGAGCTCACTCCGTTACGTGGTGTTAGGGATCCTATTTTTATCA